CAACTCCGCATCTGCGGCTCCATCCGCGCTTTTGCGCATTCGCTTCTGCGACACCACGTGCGCAGGTGCGGTCCCGCTTCTGCGAAACTCGACCGTATCTGCGGTCCCAGCCTTCCCGAGCCAGAACCGCTCCTGCGACCCTCATGGTCTCTTCTTCGGCTCCGCACCTGCGGCCATAACCTCGCAGGTGCGGTTACACCAGAAGACAGCAGCCTCAGCACATCTTCCAAGTCCAAATTCGATCCGTTAACCATCCGAAATCCACCCGAGGCCCTCGGGACCTCAATCAAATATACCAATACGTCTCAAAACACAACACAAACTTGCTCGAGGCCTCAAATCACATCAAACAATGTCGAAATTATGAATCACACCCCAATTCAACCTTAATGAACTTTAGAACTTCAAACTTCTACATTCGATGCCAAAACCTATCAAATCACGTTCGATTGACCTCAAATTTTGCACACAAGTCACACTTGACATTACGGGCCTACTCCAACTTCCGGAATCAGAATCCGAGCCCGATATCAAAAGGTCCACTCCCGGTCAAACTTCTCAAAAATCTTCAAATTTCTAACGTTTGCCAAATGACCTCAACATGACCTACGGACCTCCAAATCCACATCTGGATGCGGTCTCAATACCAGAATCATCTTACGGAGCTATTCCCAGACTCAGAATCCCAAACGGACATCAATAACATTGAAATGCACTTCAACCCAAATTTAAAAAATTCTTCCAAAAATGCCAACTTCCATAATATGTGCCGAAATGCTCTCGGGTCATCCAAAATCCGATCCGGACATACGCCCAAGTCCAAAATCATCATACAAACCTGTTGGAACCTTCCAATCCCGATTCCAAGGTTATTTACTCAAAAATCAAACCTTAGTCAATTCCTCCAACTTAAAGCTTCCGAAATTAGAATTTGCTTCCCAAACTAACTCCGAACTTTTTGAAATTCAATTCCGACTATAAGTACAAGTCCTAATACCTGAAGTGAAGCTGTTCAGGGTCTCAAACCGCTGAATGACGCGCTAGAGCTCAAAACGACCCATTGGGTTATTACAAGGGGTAAGGTCTGCGTCCAAACTACCCTCCCCATACCCCACATGTTGAGAATATACTCGGTATGTTATTGTTGTTGTAATATTAGTTATATAAGAGTTTATACTCGGTATGTTATTGTTGTTGTAATATTAGTTATATAAGAGTTTATATTTTTATTTATCAATATTTTTCTAGGAGCTATAGTTTAATCTCTTCACTCACAAATTTCTAGAAGACCAAAAGGTTCAAATCCTTCAATTTGTTTTATTATCTTTGAATAATTATGGTAAGTATTTGGTAAAAAGGATAATAATAATTTCCATAAGATATGTATTCCACATCTCATAAATCATAATAAGACATAAAAAGATTTTTATGAAGTAGGATTTATTTAGCTAATAAGCTAGTTTAGTGAGATTAATATTTATTAACTTTTAGGAACTCACATTTTTTTCTGTGATATATTTTTTCAATAACTCAAATATATTATTTAATAGTATTTACGTAATTTTTCAAAATTATATATTTATTGATATAGGTACACGTGCAAAGCGCGTATCTTAAGACTAGTAATATATTAAAAGGACGAAGCCCCCTTAGCGAAATGTCGTTTTCTTTTTGTACCCTTAAAAAATAAGTTTTACATTGAATAAAAATGTCATTTTACTTATTTTCCTAATATTTAAGACTTTTACAACTAAATTCTATTTATCATATCTTTTTTATTTAAGCTCTTGAAATATCCACATTTAAAAATCGAGGAAGAGTTTACCTTATATAAATGATACACATTAGTTATGATACAACTACACTATACTTTTTCTAATATTTAGGGGGAAAAGGGCAATAGCAGAGGCCGAAAATTACCTTAGATTAACGTTTTCAAATTTCCTTTTTACTAGGAAACACTTAACTTGAACATTGTATGTTTTTCTATTTTGTTTAAATTTTTATTTTGTGAAAATAAATCATAACAATGTTGCATATAGGGGGCTTTTGTATTTATACCCGGTTTTTGGGTCAAATTGAACCTATACCCACTTTGCAAAAAATAATTGCAAGTCTATCCACTTTACGATCAATTTTAGACTTATCGGGTCTGAAGTTAAAAACAATTTAGTCTGAAGTGAAAAAATTGCATTTCAGATGCACGTAAGGCCAAATAGGTCTGAAGTACAACCAATGATTTCATGCACTTAATGCCAATAAGTCTGAAGTGAAAAATTATACTTCAGATATATTTAACGCCAAAAGGTCTGAAATGCAACAAATATTTTCCTACACTTAAGGCCAATAAGTCTTAAAGTGAAAAATTGCACTTCAGATGTGCTTAAGGCCAAATAGATCTGAAATGCAACCAATGGTTTCATGCACTTAAGGCCAATAAATCTGAAGTGAAAAATTGCTTTTCAGATGCACTTAAGACCAAAAGGTCTATAGTGCAACAAACGTTTTCCTACGCTTAAGACCAATAATTCTGAAGCGACAATTTGCACTTCAGATACACTTAAGGCCAAAAGGTCTGAAGTACAACCAACGTTTTCATGCACTTAAGGCCAAATAGGCCTGAAGTACAAATTGTCCATAAACAAAAATTTGTTCTTCGAATTTTAACAATCCAATATACGATTTAATACCTAAATCTACTCCAAATGAGTTCAAATTTGAAACATAACCTCCAAATATCATCAAGAACAAACCCCAATCATCAATTTATCAAAATAACAATAAATCTAACGAATCCATTTGCAATTAAGAAAAAGAAAAAGAAGAAACCCTAAGCAATAATAAAAAATAAAGGACCACAACAGCTCACCATTGTAAAACATGATAAACTACCTTAAAATATATTCACAAGCACCATATAAAATCATCGTTAGAAGAAGAAGAAGAAGAAGAAGAAGAAGAAAGAGGAGAAAAAAAGCCTAAAGTTGTTTAAACAGTGGGTACAAGTTAAATAAAATTTTAAAAATAAGTACAAGTTAAATAGTGGCGATCAAATAGGGCGCCCCGTGCAATTTTTACTGCATATAGTCAGCAACTAAGTTTTTGAGCATGGAAGAGTTGTTCTTACCAATTAAAAGTATGTGGTCGATCGACTTTTATATTCATTAAATTAAATTTTACACGACAAAATAGTTTTTCAATTATTTTTGAATTTAATGTCAATCTAGACTCAATTTTTTTTGATTTGTTTCAAATTACCTCTACTCCATTATGGATGTCCATATAACTTTTCAAACTGGTATTATACACCTTAGAAAAATTTTCGAACACCCGCGCGTCTAACTTAAACACGCATGAATCACATTCTAATTCCTAAAGTTGAATGATTTTAGGAACTATTTTAACTCATTCAAAATAGTTTCAAATTACATATTAGTTTAATTTTAGTAACATGCTTATATTATTGTATCTATGACTATAAAATACATATGAATTTATTTATTTGTATATATTAGTATTATAAAAGAACGAAACTCCAATACATATAAAATTAAAAAAATACATATAAAAATTTGCTTATTAAATCTTTCTTTATTTGAAAAATATAGAAAGTACTAATACTTAGAACTTTAAAATAATTAAAATTTATATATTATATAAATTATATATTGTTTGAACTATTAATCATAATTCTATATTATAATATTTATGTAATTTTTTAAAACCTTTATATCATTAATATGGGATACACACACAATCGCATGTAAAAGCACGAATGCCCTAATCGAAATAACGCTCGTCTTTTTTTTACCTTTGAAAATAAGTTTAACATTGGACAAAAATGTCATTTAATAATTTTCCGAATACTTAGTACTTTCAAATTAATAACTAAAATTTTGACTATTAAATATTTTTTTATTTGAACTAGGTAAAAGCTCATACTCCATCCGTTTCAATTTATGTGAACCCATTTGACTGGGCACGGAGTTTAAGAAAAGAGAGAAAACTTTTGAACTTGTGGTGTAAAATGAGGCACATATATTTTGTGTGGCTGTAAATCATTGCATAAACGTAAATTGTTTTCAAATAAGAAAATAGGTTATTCTTTTTGGCACGGCCTAAAAAGGAAATAAGTTCACATAAATTGAAACGGAGGGAGTAATATTTACTTATATAAATATAATTTTTTTCTTATTTGGGCAGTTTGTCTTTTACAAAGTCCTAAAATATAAGTCCACCCTTCTCTTTTCATAAAAATCACTATCGTTTTTAATTTATAAGAGAACCTCCCTTACATGCACATACATCAAGACTCATCGAGGTTGTTTTTCGTACTTTTTCTCCTATTTTTTTGTGATTTAGAATATTTTTAACCTATAATATATATATATATATATATCTTTTAGTCTGATTTTTAGTTTTAAGAAAAGTTAAAATCACGATAAAATCTCGTGCAACTAAACCTTTTTGATTATTCTTTTGTTTGATTTTTTTTCTTTCCGAAAAGTTAAGTTTTAGTGTCTGCTTTATTTAGTCTCATTGTAGATGCATTGCAGTATCAGTTATTGTAAATATTGTACAAATTTTTTGTAAAAAATAATAAATTATAACGTTATTTGATAGTATCTCATCAATCTTAATACTCCTTCTTTTCTATTAGCAGATAGATATTATTTATAATTATATGATTATTCTAAATACATTAGTGATAAAAGCCAAATTACACGCGCAAGGCGTATGCACAAAAACCTATAGAAGTAAATGTGCAAATCATGCTAAAAGGAATATCTTAAAATCATACACTATAGCTATTTTTGCAAGGCGAGCTAAAATTGAGTTTCAACTTTCAAGATCCCCTGACGCGGATGAATCCAAGGGTAACTCGAGCTATAGTTCTACTATGTACATTACTAAATTATGTGACCTTTCATTATTTAAAAAAGACAGGAAAAAGAAAAATAGTACAAATATTGTCACCCACTAACCTTGATGAATGATGTGATCCATTAAATAGTACCCCATTCTACTACTACTCCAATATTCTAGAAAGATAAAGAGAGAGAGAGAAAGAACAGAGAAAGCTCAAGAGAAGCCATGGGAGTAGCAGCTCATTTCAATCATTTCTGGTTCCTTCTTTTCATCCTCTTCTTCTCTTTCTGCATCTCCTCCATCTTCGGATCCGTAAGTTATCTATCTCTAATCCCGCAACTCCCATCTTACAGCCTAACTCGATTTATATGTGACTGAGTCGTACTTAGCTTGTTGTTTTGGTTAAGTCCTTTACATTCAAGATCTAATAGTGGCTTTATAACTTAGCCAGTATACGTAACTTGAACTCCCAATTAATATCTAACTTCTTATTAACCTATTCTTTTTTCTTCTTTTATTTATCTATTTAATTTTTTTTGAACAAACGCAGGATGATGATTGCGTGTACACAGCTTACGTCCGAACGAGTTCAATAATAAAAGGTGGAACCGATTCGATTATTAGTTTGACTCTCTACGATGCAAACGGGTATGGTATTAGAATCAAGAACCTGGAGGCCTGGGGTGGGCTTATGGGCCCAGGTTACAACTATTTCGAGAGGGGAAACTTGGACATATTCAGTGGCCGAGCCCCATGTTTGACTGGGCCGGTCTGCAAGATGAACTTGACTTCCGACGGAACAGGTCCAGGCCACGGCTGGTACTGTAACTACGTAGAGGTTACCGTCACCGGAGTCCATAAGCAATGCAACCAACAGAATTTCGAAGTGGAGCAGTGGCTCGCTACTGATGCGTCGCCTTATCAGCTCACGGCCATAAGGGACAACTGTAAGAAGACCAAGTCCGATGAGAAACTGTCCATTTCCGGTGAGAATCTGCCCGTTTCCGATACTGAATCCATTCCACATGTTTCTGTGATTTAAGTTTACAGTTATTGGGCTTTAATGGGCCTGGCCCCACATTTCTCTATTGTATCTCCTATCAGGGGTAAGTATGACATTTAATATGTGTCAATGTAGCTTTAATGTTTATAGTATGAGTGGTGTTGGAGTAATAAAGTGGCCTGATAATTTTGCGAATAATAAGAATCAATACTTTTTCTCAAGAGTACTATATTTTGCAAATATAAAGATTTGCCCCATCGTTATTTCTTATGCTACCATTTTATATTGTACAAGATTATCACGAGTATGTTATTATATATTTAGCATGCTTTAAATGAAACTATCAATAATTGTTAGTAGTATATTTTGCCAAAATCTAAACAAGTAGGTGGAGTTGGTTCAACTTGAAACAAGTAAAATAATTAGGTCACTCAACAAAGTAATGACACAAGTTCTAGATATGTCGGTAGAGTATCTGAGCTGTGCAGATTTCGTCAAGACTTTATGAATATGAGGAACCAAATTTATAACCTAGAAGTATATACCTCCATTCTGCAATTTATTCTTCCATATCTTTGCACATAAAAATATTACTCCGAAATAGCGAAATGTTGACAAAGCCAGAAACAATTATTAAAAAATTATTTCATTCGTCCCCAAATATTACTTTTATTCAGTAATTTGATTTTCATAAGTAGAAAATAGAAAGCAGTGAGTTTTAAGTACTGGGTAAATTTTAATGAGATTAATTTTACTCCTCTGTTATTTTTATTCTTCTATTATGTATTTTTAAATACATAAGTAAATAGTATATGATTTCACATACTTTTTATTAAATATTAGAAAATCCATTCTCTAATTTTCTCTGAATAATCATGTCAAATGAAAATGTAACCAGCAAGCTGAAATGGATATAGGATTTAATCGATAAATTTCCTGTCAACCCTAAAAGCTTATCGTTGCAAACCGACATCCAGAAAAGGACACTAGATAAGATTTTTAAAATTGTAATATAAAATGAGGCATATATATTTTATGTGATTATAAATTATTGCATAAAGATAAATTACTTACAAATAAGAAAAGTGATCATTATTTTTGTTACGGAATAAAAATAAAATAAGTTTATTGGAACGGAGTATCAAATATTAATTATTTGAGATTTTTTTCGGCCATTTTTTCAGTCAATGCGAAATAAACAAGTGGCCACCTCACACGTTCAAACTGACGAGGACCCCTATAAACGCGCACCAAGCACGTACAAGAAAAGAGGACCTGTCCTTTATTTTGCTTTCAACTCTGCTAAGAATTTATCAAGGAAAAAGAAAAACAATTCTTTGTTAAGTATTTTTAGCAAGTTAAGAAATTTAGCACTCAATCCAAAGATCTATGCAAAGTTCACTCATCTCTCTAAGGAGAATGTCACAGGTACGATGTCAGGTACCATAGGCATGCCCTCATGTATATCGTCACTAATGTAAGCTCTCTTAGTTTGAAATCAAGTAGGACTTCTTTCGGGATGTAATGAAAGCTTTTGGATTAGGAAATGATACCGTATGGGTAAGTGGTTACACCTTTCCTTAAGCACTCCATCTTTCATTTTTTGGCTCACACTTTGCCAATTCTTAGAGGCACTTTCTTTTCATTGGGGACTAGAGAGACTTAGCATCACTCTTTCTTGATCATTTCATTCTTTTTTTCTTCCTTTTTGATTTCTCCATGTTTGGGATCATTACCTCTTTTTTTTTTAATCCATTCAACCCTTCCACTTATTCACTTTTTGCATTTTTCCTTTTATTCTTTTCTTTTCTTGCCTTCTCTTCTCATAGAGATCATTTCTTTTCTCTTTTTGTGTCTTGATACATTTTTCAAGTTCCTCATCTCTCCCCCAAACTTACGTTTTAAGCCATTTGTTTCAGAAGAGTGTTAAGGAAAGCTCGGGTGCCAAGAGAGGATCACGATAAAACAAGTAAAGGCTTGTAACATGGTTATCAAATGAGAAAGGCTAGAGGGGTTGACTAGGAATAATGACATTGGTTGGTAATAGAAAACTCAAACGGGCCAAGGAGAGCCTACAATCACTTCTCAAACCAAGCAAAATTTAGGATTTTGCCTTGAAACATATTTGGGAAAAGTTCTAGACCCTTCGCATGGATACTTGGACTAGCAACAATTCATCTTACCCTTCACGCAACCAGATTGTAAAAGAGGACAGAGTCAAGGGCTCACAACGACCACATTCAATTTTAAAGATCACTATGGTCCAACTAAACCATTCAATGATTGTCAAAGTCAACACAAGAGTCACAAAGTCACTAATAGAGCTATTTCTTTCAAAAACCTTGCCTCTAACCATAAGCACGTAGTTAAGTGTGTTGTGCCAATTGAAGCATAGTTGACTCTTCGAGCATGACTTAATGAGGTCTTTTTATTCATTACTACTACTATTATTACCTATACACATAAATAGACTCATTCCCTTAAGAAGGTTGTCACGCCATCTATCGTTGGGACGAGTCACCCAGTTCATACAACAACTACCTTTGAAAAGAACCGTGGCATTAAGAAAACCAAAGTCTTATTATCTACTAAAACATAAAAAGAAGCTACAAAACAAAACAAGAGGCTGAGTTGGTATCTCCCTGGAGGCCTCAGAAGCCTGACTAGTACTCTCCGATCCCTCGGAAGTGCTATGAGATGAGGATGGCTCGTCCCTGAGCTGGTATCTCCCTGGAGGCTTCGACTGTACGGCCGACTGCTCCTGAACAGAGGCTGAGTTGCCTTTGATACTTTCCTAGACGACACATATGAGCTCGTCTCGGAGAGATCTACACCTCTCCCTCTGCCGGTTATTGCTTTCTTTTTTATTGTCTTTGGTTGGCCAAGGGATAAGGTACTCCTGCGTCGGCCTCGAGAAGGTTCACCTCTCCCTTTTAAAGTGTCGCTATGTCCTCTAGATCGAACCATTGTCTGTATCAAGTAAAGGAGATTGTTAGTTGCAAAAGTGAAGTGCGGTCCGCACAATTTCACTTGCGGTCGCACCTTTAAAACTCAAAAAATGCCAACTCTCTGATGATAGAGAATTAACTAATGTGCGACCGCAACATGATTTCTACGGTCCGCATAATTAGACTTGCGGCCACACATTGGAGTCTCAATGTAGGGACTCTCTAATGACAACAAAAGTATTATTCTGCGGCCGCGATGGGAATTCTGCGGTCCGCACATTTTATCTTGTGGCTGCAGATCCCTGCCTCACTAATGCTGCCCTAAAATCAATTTCTGCGGACCGCACAATTTCAAGTGCGGTCGCAGACTTCAAAAGTTACGTATAGATCAATTTTTTCTATCTAGGTTTTTCAATTTCGTGCACAATTTAACATGGCAACATCATAGAAACATGAAAATATACTAACCTAGTCTCCATAGAGCATGTATTAGTTAACCCAGTTAAGATTTTACCTCACATGGATACACAATTGAATTCTAATGACAAATGGCCTAAGAAGAACTAAAAATCTATAAATTAAACTAAATTAAAAATATTAACATGAAATTGAAGCATACAAGATGAATGAGTGTAATGAGGGAATGATCAAGTTGTCTTGTGTGTGGACAAATAGAATCACCAAGAAATTTCAAGAGAGCACTATTTTTTTGTTCAAAGAGTGAAAATGCAAAAATGGCCATGTTCCTCTATTTATACCAGTCGTTCACTAAGGGGAAGAAGGTCGAATGCGGCCACACATTTTTATGTGCGATCCTCACTCTCTTACCTGGGGGCCTTATCTCAGCTTTCCATCTGCGGTCCGCACAACTTTGTGTGCGGCCGTAGATTTCCTGTGCGGTCGCACATTTCCTGTGCTGTCGCACATCGACCATTTCTCTGACACGATAAAACTTCAGAGAGTTGGTATTTTCAACTTCTCATTTGTGCGGTCTGCAAGATAATTGTGCGGCCGCATTGCTCTTTTGCTACAACACCCATAATTGTGTGGTCCGCACAAATCAACTGCGGTCCACAATTCTTAGAGCACTTAGCCAAATATTTGGTCCACAATTCCTGTAAGTCACACTCAGCCCTGTAGCACACTCCAAATCAAGTTAGAAAAAAAATAAAGCCTAACTACAAAAGAAAAAAAGGAAAAGAAACATGGGTTGCCTCCCAAGAAGCACCTGATTTAACGCTGCAACACGATGCAGAATACCATCAGTTGAAATGGATGACTGCCACGACGTGGCTATCTCCAACCTTTCCCAAATAGTGCTTCACCCGGTGACCATTGACTCAAAATACTTCATTGTTTTTATTCTTCAAGTCTAATACACCAAAAGGTGTTACACCTACAATTTCAAAAGGATCACTCCATTTAGACTTTAGCTTCCTGGGATACATCCTCAACCTTGAGTTAAACAACAATACAAGATCACCCACATTGAACTCTTTGTTCCAAATGTATTTGTCATGAAGATATTTCATCTTTTCTTTGTACAAGGACGAACTTACATAATCATTGTACCAGAACTCATCCAATTCATTCAAATGTGCAACCCTCAAGTTAGCGGTTACATCCCAATCAAGATTCAATTTCTTTAGAGTCCACATGGCCTTGTGCTCTAGTTCCACTGGAAGAGGAAAAGCTTTTTCGAACACCAACCGGTATGGCGACATTCCTATATGTGTTTTATAAGCCATCCAATAAGTCTATAATGCATCATCAAGCTTCTTGGACCAATCCGCCTGATTAGCATTCACCGTTTTGGACAAGATACTCTTTATCTCCCTATTAGAGACTTCCACTTGCCCACTAGCTTGTGGGTGATAAGGAGTTGTGACTTTGTGAGTAACACCATACTTGCTAAACAAAGTGTCAAAAGCCTTGTTGCAAAAATGTGACCCCACATCACTTATAATAGCCCGTGGAGTACCAAACCTTGTGAAAATATTCTTCTTCAAGAAAGCCACCACACTTCTCGCCTCATTGTTGGGTAAAGCAACAGCCTCAACCCATATAGACACATAATCAACCGCGACCAAGATGTAGGTATTTCCACAAGAACTCACAAAAGGGCCCATGAAGTCAATACCCCAACACATCGAAAATATCAATCTCCAAAATGGTTGTGAGAGGCATTTCATTCTTCTTTGAGATCCCACCAGCCCGTTGACATCCATCACATCTTTTCACTAGCTCACTAGCATCCTCGTAAAGAGCGAGCCAATAG